GGCTCAACAGACAATTTGAAGAGAACAAAAAAGAATTTGCAGGATGTGGTTGTTACATTCATGTAATTTTAAAAAGCATGACAATATCAAGTAATCCAAAGTATTCAGATTACATTACTCAAGTTAAGTAATTTAATGGATTATGTTACAAACTACATTTTGGGGTATGTAATCTGTAATCTGTAATCTGTAGGGGAATACATTTTAAAGTAACCTTCCCAACACTGTGTAATGTTACATTTGAGTGAAATTGCAGAGCTGCCTTTGACTAAGTCCAAGCTAACCATGTCTAACCGCTAACCCCTGTGATGCACCCAGAGGCGGGGTGAGAGCGTGGGGAGGGGCAGCAGACAGAGCACCTCGGAGGGCACCACACAGAGCACCCCACCCACCCCCAGTCAGCACCCGACCAGGAGGAGGAGTGTGGATGACCTCTGGATCCAAGAGCTGAAGAGATCCAAGCACAAACTGTCTGTGGCCACCAGGGGGAGCCTGTGCCACTTCAGCTCTGTGTTGTGTCAGGATTTGGCCAAAGTAAGGATTCGATCGGGCCTTTCTTACCTCCGTGTGCTCCTCTGGATCATCTCAATCTCTGGGTCTCCTTGCTTTACTTGGGTCTCCTCACTGACACTTTACACAAAGCTTCTGTCAAAAGATTTTGAGTAACCACTGGTTTTCTTTACTGACTCCACTTCTGTTCCTTTAACAATACTGGATTCACACTTATCCATCTTATCACTCATTTTATCTACAAACAATCACACTATACAATTATTCCTATTTTCCTCAATAGTATCCAATAACAATAATCTTTATTTGCACTTTATTTAAGGTGCTCCTTTCAGATTCCACTTCTGTGTCAAATTTAAACCTGTTCTATTTTTCTCATTGCACATGTTTTTATTGGAGTGAATGCACCAAGTGTGTTTGTTCTGGTGCATTCACAATAAATCAATCTCTGACCACAACTAACACTCACACACACCACATTCATTCTAGACACTGAAGGTGAAGTCAAGATGATATTTCAAATGTCTCCTTAGATCTTCTCTTTGCGTCCTCTCTTCCTGGTTCTTTCATGGACTTCTCTGTTACATCTCTATCTGTGATCCAGACACAGCCATGAGTGGGTATGACCCTCACCCTGACCCTGCTCCTGTCTCCAGCAGGCACCTTTGGGACCCCCCCTGGAGCACATGGAGCCCTTCAGAGAGGCCTCTCTCCGGGCACACTGCTGGTCCCAGAGCACACCCACAGGCCTGGATTGCCTGGGCTGGAGGAGGCAGCTCTCCTGCTCCGGTGAGTCCTACTTCACTCATTCCAGCTCCTTGGTGATGTAATGTAGTTGGTAACTTTGGTTTGATGTTTTATAGACTTACAGACATACTGTTCAGGCTGGTTCATCCACTTCACTTATGAAGTCAATATAAATACTCTTTAGCTACTGAAAATCCTTTGGAATGTGAGAGCTCGGTCCTCAGCTCTATTTGCTGTATATTGTGCACATGAGATGCAACCATACACTTTTCCTACAGTTCGATACATATTTCTATACATGGGTCACGATATTGATTTTATTTTGATATATTTTAAGATGAAAAAAAAATGTAAGTTTTTCTACTAATGCGTATAATATAATAACACTATGATATCAATGAACCAATACTACATACATTACATAACAGTACAACTACTATAAAGTTATATTTTATATGTGAAGTAAAGTTCATTTGGTTCAGTGATTTACATCTCAGAATTTTTATTCTTTGAAAATAAGAACAGAGCTTTCTCAGGTTGTTTTATATTTTATAATATTGTCTGGTCACTTAATACAGAGTGGTAGGGGAGTTACATTATCAGACTTTTCCTTCTTTGATGATGATTTAATGATTTCTTTTCCTCCTACATCTTCTGACTGTGTGCTTACGCCTGTGTCCGTGTTCTGAGTAAAACTTATGAGATAGAGTCTTAGAAAAAGATTGCGTACAATGAGAGTTGTGTTGCTGGTGTGAATACAGTATGTAAAGCCAAAAGTGATTCTAAAGTATTTAAAAGTGAATATCTTTGTCATTCCTGGCTCTATCGAGATAAAATGAAAAGTGACTGAAAATAAACAACAACACAGAGTGCATGGAGGGACACTTGTGTATCAACCGAACACGTGTATCGAATCATGAGACCAGTATCGAAAGATCACAATTTCATTGCATCCCTACTGTGCACATATGTTATTTCAGGAGTATCAGTCAAGACTTTTAAGAAAGCTCCTTTTCTGAGAATACTTTATTATGAAGTACTGTATGTAAGTACTGTCAGTGAGTGGGTAGAGAAATACTTTATTGTGAAGTACTGTATGTAAGTACTGTCAGTGAGTGGGTAGAGAAATACTTTATTGTGAAGTACTGTATGTAAGTACTGTTAGTGAGTGGGTAGAGAAATACTTTATTGTGGAGTACTGTATGTAAGTACTGTCAGTGAGTAGGTAGAGAACACAGCATTTGTTGCCTTGTTGTTGGTAGCATATCATTTTTATTTAGTTTTGCAGTTGTATTTATGGCTGTAGTATTAATCACATTTGAAGTCTACAGCTAATCCTCTGTCAGTAAAAACGCACAGAAAAATTGTCAAACAAAATCTGCAAAATCTGTAATATAACTGTTTTGACTGTTTTACTGAAATGTGTAGTCTACTGCAGTCATTCTGTTATTGTACTGCATTCAGTGGGGATTTTACTTCAGCTCTCTGCCTCAGATGTGACCTTGAAATGACAGCTTAGTTGGGGACTGGAAGAGACAAACTCAGTTCCCAGCTTTGTATCTCCAAAAGCCTCTGAATACTGAAGAACAGCTCATTTCACTGTGGGACACTACATTTCATTTTGGAGTGCCTCTGCTTCATTGTCGTCAGTCTGTTGATCCTGACGAGTTATAATGAATCTTTTGAAGGATATGATTGTGCATGGGCAGTGTAGATTTGATTTTCTGCTGAGTAAAATTATGTCCCTACATGTACCTCATTCTTTGTCCAGAAGAGGGCGCCATTTACATACTTCCATAGCTACAAATGGACTCGTGTACAGACTAGAGCAGTAGTGAGGTAATTCGTATGAAATTACCATGTTCTTGTCTAACTGTATTTGTTCTGTGGACTTTGCAATAATTAACAGAAAACCCACAAAGTCTGAACCTCCACCCATGTTCCTCTAGTGACTCTCAATCGAGACCACTGCAGGTACACTTGTGAATGATATTAAAACTAGTATCAAAATAGCTATTTGAGAACTATAAAAGAAGTATAAGTACACATAGGCTAGTATACACACATGGTCCACTATGGAACTTACTGCACCACTGAGGATTACACACATATAAGACAATGGGAATAGAAAAGATACTACCAGTGCAATGAGGTTTATTTGGTCTTGTATGTTATTAGGTTCTTTTTTCAGACCAAGAGTTTGTTTTCATACATGACAGTTTTGACTGGCCACTAGTGGTCTTACTCAGAAAACATCACGTGACCACTCTGAGGAAAACCACCAATGAGCAGTCAAAACTGTCAGGTATGAAAACAAACTCTTCGTCTGAAAAAAACAAAACAAAACCTCATGACATAGACAGTACTACCATTTAATGTGGAAAATCACAGTATATTGTCTAAAGAAAGACTGTATTTTGTTATTATATTGTGGTGTTGGAATTGGTATTGAGTATTGGTATTTAAGTCTGTTCCTTAATGTCGAGACTTTTAAATACATTATCAACAAAATACGGGCTGAAAGGTAGTGACAAAATTGACTTTTTTGACCATGTTTTAACGTTCTCTTATCCAAACATGCCTGAAGAGGTTTTAGATGTCATCTGTGTATGTTTGAGTATTTTACTGATCTTTCCAGGGTCTTATTCAAACCCTCCTTATGGTGAGCTGTAAGAAACTATCTGTCACTCATGATCCCACATGAAAATTCTCCATAAATATGATATAAAACACATGATACAGAACTGTACACAACAACTTGACAAACCTGATGTGATGTGCAGTAGTTTCATTAGTACACTGATTGTGTGATAGTGCTTGGAAGGAGAAGTGACTTAGCACAGAGAGCAAATAGATGTGGCAAAAACCAAGGTGAAACTTATTAAAAATGTGAGTACGTTTTCAGTAAATATAGCATTTTCAAAATGATAAATGGTAACATGGTGATCTAAGTATGTTATTTGGAAGTTAATTCCCCTCTTTAATAATGCATTTTTTTATGTGTATAGTCCAGATAACAATCAAAACTATTTATTTATTTATAAATTTTTCCATGAATGTCAAGGCACAATGAGGTGATTAATGACTGCAGGGTGTGTTGTTTACAAAAGATGCACACACAAAAAAATGTTGTGTGTACCATATCTAGACTAGTTTTCCCAGTGGCTGGCTGCGGTCAAACAGTGTGCATTGTGTACGAGAGTGATACCATCATACCAGAGAGAGAGAGAGAGACGGGAGGGAGGGAGGGATGGAGAGAGAGAGAGAGAGAGAGAGAGAGAGAGAGAGAGAGAGGGAGAGGAGGAGGGGCTCTGTCTCTCTCCTCCCTCACACAGCCTGCATACACCACCATCACTGCACTGTCGCTGCCGGCAAAATGAGCAGCGTGAGCCCCCCTCATGGACCCCCACTGATGTCAGCCCGGAGACGGAGCGAGAAGGAGCGAGCGAGCGAGGGGCAGTGAAGCAAAGAGAGAAAGAGAGAGAGGGAGAGAGAGAGAGGGAGGGGAGCGGTCTCTGCTGCATGTGCACTGGGAGGAGACTGACTAAAGGTACCACGGAGAACCAGGACCTACAAACATCTCTGAAGACACTACCCGGAGATCTTCTGTCTTCACCTGCCAACGATCGAGCGTCTCCTGTCTGTCACCGCACCTGCCAGTTCCCGTACCTGCTCCTGTGCCTGGGGAGTGCCTGTGGCTGGCCTGGGTAGTGGTGCGTGGTGGTGGTGGTGGTAGTGTGGTGATGCGGACTCAGCAGCAGGGATCGCAGGGGGGCGTGCCTGGGCCGGGGAGCAGCTACGGCAGCATCGGCAGCGGCTCGTCCGGCCTGTCCCCCGGGTCCGACTCGGAGGGGGGCAGTCCCACGCACAGAGGGACCATGGGGCTGGACATGGGGGGCAGTCCCACGCACAGAGGGACCACGGGGCTGGACACGGGGGGCAGCTCGGGCGGAGGGCTCGGTGGTGGAGGAGGAGGAGGGGGGAGCCTGGGAGGAACTCTGAGAGGCGTCCTGTCCCGCTACTGGAGCCTGGAGAGCCTGCACTCCACCACAGGTATGAGTGAGTTATGTGTGTGTACGGGGCCCCCCTGCACACATGTGTACAGCTGGAGTGTGTGGGCCACTGCAGCAGACACCACAACACCGAGCTGAGGACATGGAGTTTATCAGGGGGGAATCGGCTGGTACACTGTGTAACTTTTCTACTGGAGCACTGGTTGGTCTCCATGGAAATGTTATTTCTATTCCACAGTATGGCATTTAACAGGTGATGTCACAAGGCCAAGTTACAGGTCAGATCTATGTAAAGGCAAGCCTGCTCAGTTAGAACAATGTATTTGATTGTAGATACGTTGCATTGTAAGGCAAATGAAAATTCAGCACTGTCAGAACAAATGACTCACTGTGGCTGGAGGACTGATCCAGAAGCATTTTGCATAGTTTTCCTCCAGTTAGAAGTAAGGACAGACACTACTGACAAATGTTTATTTTTATTTTTTATTGCATCTCTAAATCTATTAGTTTTCACGTGTAAACCGATCTAAATATGTTTTATTATTTAATTTGATCCACTTACATCCTTGGATTTCTTTGTGACATTGTTCATTCAACATCTTTTTTCGCTAAATGCATTTTCCCCCCACAGTCTCGTACTTAAACAGGAAACATTTTACTTCTATCAGGTTTTAATGCTAACGCGTAACATTTTTACATCACCATATTACCTTTTATTGTTTTTTAAGTTTCACTTTTTTTTCTGATGACACGTTTCCCCCGTCCCTTTGCTCTCTGTATGAAGTCACTCATGGTTTGTCCATGTGTCACGTTACTGTGTACTGTTTTCTATCATGTTTTTGTATATTTATAGAGAATTGTAGTATGGGAGCATGGGTGATGTAGGCTTGTGGGTGGAGCCTTGTACCTCATTCTGCTAACCGTAAGGAGGGTTTGAATAGAGCCTGGAAGAGATTGCTAGATGATTCAAACATGCATGGAGGACATTTAAAACCTTAAAAAAAGTTTCAAACTGATAAAGCTCTAAATGTCAGACTCAGATGCCTTGCCATCGTTGCAGCTGTTTTAGTCGCGAAAAGAAAGTTGAAAACTTGACACACATAGATTCTTTAATGTTGTCTGTGAGGCCTGGGGCTGATAGACAATAATAGTGGTGAAGAGGAGAGGGACATGCTGAAGATGCAGTTAGTTCATTTATTTAATGAGACACATTCAGTGCACAATTTACATTAACCTTAACAGGAGAGATGCATTATACTAGGTTGTAGCACCAGTGTTAATTTTCACCTGTAGTCCCTGGGCAGTTTAATTGATTGATTCTATTTCAATTACCTTAGCTATAAGCTGTTCTTCCTGGAGACCTAGACCTGGAGACCATCAGTCCAAAACATGCTGTAGCATGCTGCTGTGGTGGAGATGGGACAGAGGATGGGTGTAGGTATTAAGAAAAGGGTGTAGTTAACAAGGAAAGAAGGAGGGAAAAGAGAGTGTATCAATAACGCACTGCAGTGGTTGGATTTCTCAGGAAACAGGTAGTACCCCCCGTCTCTCAGACTTATGTGCAGTGCTCCTGTCTCCTCCTCTGTTTTTGCTGTCGGAGAACCATGCAGGTGCTCAGATGTCTGGGCTCGGTGGATGAGCATGCTCACAGCAGAAGGACCATGCAGGCGTTCAGATGCACAAGTGGAGTCCACTCCCACACTTGTGAATAATGTACAGAGAATATTGTCAGGAGTTTCCAGCTCAGAGTGCAGCACCAGCAGATGTGACACATACTACATACAAAACACTATGGTACATTTTTAAGGACTTACTGTAACTGTGAATGAATCATTCATTTAGGCTGGAGTCATGTAGTCTCGTTTAGTGTGTTAACTGGTAAGTGGAGTCTTCTTCAGTATGTTTACTTCTTGCACCTTCAACTGTGTTAGATTCGAATATGAAATCTAAACTAAATACATATTATCAGTATAATTCTACTTCAGTTATTTGGACAAACAGATGTTGAGTTTTTTTTTTTTTTTTTTTTTTTTTTTCTTGTGGCTGGATCCAGTTATAGGAAAAGTTATTTGAAAATAGGGAGGCACCATTACCAGACTGGGACTGGCACACATACTGAACATTTTGTTGCAACAGATATTGTTTTCCAAATATCGGTTCAGCCGATGTGCTGGTTGGACATTTAAATTGGTGTAACAAAACCCAGACTTGAGGCATAAGTAACAGTAGGGATAGCAGCAGTAGCAGTAGTAGCAGTTGTCGTCGTCACAGTAGTAGTAGTAGCAGTATTCGCAGCAGGAGCACTAGTAGTAGCAGTATTATTATTATTATTAGTAGTAGTAGTAGTAGTAATAGTAGTAGTAGTAGTATTTGCAGCAGGAGTAGTAGTAGTAGTAGTAGTAGCAGCAGTAGCTAAATTTAGCTGTTATCCTGTTGTTCTAAATAAGATGACACAGATGAATGAGATTGTTGTGATGTGAGGAGGTGGTTGCCATGGTGACAGCAGCACATCTGCTACTGCATGCGCTCAGCATGGACTCAGCTACCGGGGTCAGAGGTCACACACGATTGTGGAATAAATGACACAAAATAAATTCTGGGAAAGTGAGATAGGGAACACTGCAGTACAAAACAAAACTGTTGTGCGGTTAAATGAGAGATAAATAACAGCTACATAATGATGGATCAGTTTTGTCTTATTTATTTTTGTTTAAAGGGTGCAGGAGGGGCCAGAAGGGTACAGGAGGGTACAGAGGGGGCAGGAGGGAGCAGGGTGTAGGGGCACATTCCTCAGAGGGGCTGGGCAGACGGGACACTCCCCTGGATCAGTGTGAGAGCCCTGGGTCAGGGTCAGGCTGAGGCAGGTGCCAACAGGAAACTCCCCAGAATCAGTCACTATGTTTCTATGTACAGAGAATGAGCTGTAAAACGAACACAGCTATAACTGCAAAGAAAAAAGACACATCACCCATAAAGCTCATCTATGTGAGCATTTGTTTTTCAGACATGAGGAACTGTGTTACCCACGAGTTATCTGCTCTCTACAGCACAAAGAAACTCGTTAAAGCTTCAGTCATTTTCTCTTTCACTTTCACACATGTAGTACTCCAAAACTATGAAACTAATCTATGTTTGGTGGAAGGGCTGGAGCTGATCGTTGCTGCTGATCTAAAACAAATGATTAAACATCCAAACACATCAAGTCTAATAATGTACTGGCTGTTTCTTCCCTTGTGCAGTTGAATGCATCTCTCAGTCTGTGCCTTAGACAGTAAGGAAGTGGACTAAGGGAGTGTGACGTCACCCATAGCAGTTGGCTCCAGTCAAATGAAGCTCACTGAGGCTGTTTTAGGTGCGTATTTGGAGCCAGGTCCAGATTAGGAATAGGAATTGATTTACAGACAAAATAACAAAATAAAAATACAGGTTAATATGAACATTTTAAGACCAAAGTGAGCAACCTTACAGCAGCAGTTTTTTCTGTACAAGCCAGAAGCACGCCCATACTCACTTCCTGGAACATGGAGGCTAGCAACTTAGCTATGTCCATATAGAGTATAAGAAATTAGTATATACAGTCAGCTCCTAACGTAAAACAGACTGTGCTGTTCGTGATGCAGCAGGTTTCCAAGTGAGTACCAGCTTCTCCAGATGTGTTATTGGGGTCTTTAAAATTTGATTCATAACACCTTAATCATAGTTCCTGGGTTTGTGTGCATTTTGATAAACGACTTTAAACTGGACTAGGCCAGAGAGTTGTCCTGACGTGTGCAAATGCAGTGAGTGTAAGAGTGTGTGAGGGTCAGGCAGAGGCACACAGGATTCTCCCCAGGATCAGTGTGAGATGGCTGGGTTGGGTTGTGTCCGGCTGAGGCAGACACTGGATGGTACGTGTCAGTAACAGAGACAGACTGTTTATTTAAAAGGGGCTAAGCCCACACTGACTGAGGATAAGCACAGGGGCTTGTGTCTGAGACACTGGGTCAAGAGGACAGGACTGTGCCACAAAAGTGTTTCACAAACTGTGGTGCGTGTTCCTCTGGTGGTACTCACGGCCCTCTGCAGTTTGAAAATAAAATCATGATTGTGTCCAGTTCGTCATTCAGCTGTCATGTCTTTTATTGTATTATAATAAGTGGGCTTTTGAGTGAATGGTTCTGTCCACATCATGATTACACACATACAATACAAATATGATTCAACACAACAAAACGTATAACTTTGGTACTAGTAACTGTAGTAGTAGCAGCGGCAGCAGCAGTAGTAGTAGTAGTAGTAGTAGTAGTAGTAGTAGCAGCAGTAGCTAAATGTAGCTGTTATCCTGTTGTTCTAAATAAGATGACACCTATGGTCTTGAGCTCTGGGTAATGACCGAAAGGACAAGATCGCAGATACAAGCAGCTGAAAAAGAGTTTCCTCCCCAGGGTGGCTGGGCACTCCCTTAGAGATACGGGAGGAGCTCAGTCACACAGGAGGAACTCGGACTAGAGCCGCTGCTCCTCTATGTTGGAGAGGAACCAGTTGAGGTGGCTCAGGCATCTGTTCTGATGCCTCCTGGGCGCCTCCCTCAGGAGGTGTTCTGGGAATGTCCCACCAAAGGAGGCCCCAGGGAAGACCCACGATACACTGGAGAGACACTCTCGACTGGCCTGGAAACCCCTCAGGGTCTCCCCAGATGAGCTGGAGGAAGTGTTGGAGGTGAAGGGAGTGTGGGAGTCCCTGCTTAGACTGCTGCCCCCGTGAGCTGGCCCCAGTTAAGTGGAAGAAAATGGAGGGATGGAGTTTATAAGCATTTTTCACAACTTTCAGAGACTAGAGCTACAAAAAACTAGCATGCTAACATGCACTTCCTTATTAACAGACAACAAAAGCTTTATAATGCAGACAGCACACAGAGGATTTATAGTGTCCTCAAGAGCCTCTTATAGAATATATCTGTACTGGGGTGAGATACATTTTCTCAGTGACTAACCTACTCCTGAAACTCATAAACTCCTCCTTATGCACCAGGAGCCAGCCGACCTGTGCGGGGTCTGTGCG